CCACATAATTTAAAAAAATTCACTAAATTTGACACCGCAAGGGTGGACGTATAAGAAAATTCATAGTTGAGGGGTGGTTGTAGTTACCTAAATATGAGAAATTTTTCGTAATTTGACCTTAGCTCAGAGGTGCCTGTAATTTACCCTAGATTCTATGTGAATAAATTCCGGTTATAAGTTTTATTGTTCTATAAGTTCATAGTTTAATTTATAATAAAAATATCCTTACTCAATTCAAATCAATCTCCCCATAAATCCCTCGATCAAAATTCCCCAAAATATATTTCCTCCAAATTATTTAAAAAAAAATGTATAAGAAAAAGCATTTGTTGCAAAAACTCAGACTCACACAAAAAACCATGATTTACTCTTTCAAATGCAAACAACAAATTGAAAATAAACTCTACATTATCTAAAATGCCAAGCAATAACAAAAAAAATGTACATCACGCAAATTCAAAAAATGCAATTTGCAGCTTTTTTATTTAATGCAGTAAATTGTTTTCGTTTCGATTTTCTTTTTTTTTTTTTGGCTGTTTGACGAAGTAAAATTACAAAATCCAAGAGAAATAATTAATTCACTGCAAATAAATATTGAGAGAAATATATATTGGGATTAGAGAGAGTCCGTGAGAGAGAGAGAGAGAGATGGGGGGTGAGACAAAAAAAAGTAGCTGTGTGCACGGTTCGGTTCGGGTCGGCTTTTTGCTAAAACCGAACATGAGACAAATATTTCAATTTTTGTAAAATTAAAAAAAAAAAATACATATATAGATATATATATATATATATATATATATATATATATATATATATATATATATATATATATATATATATATATATGTGTGTGTGTGTGTGTGTGTGTGTGTGTTTCATCGATTTGGTTTGTTTCGATTTCAGTTTGATTTTGGATTTTGTCGGTTCTGTTTCGATTCAAGAGTAACTATATATTTAAGTTATACAAATAAAAGAATCCGATTATAATTACTTTCACAACTAACTAATGCAATGAAAATATAAAATCTTTAATCCCATAAGACTTAACGTAATTTTGATAATGTATTATGTTTCAGTTTTTTTCTTACTGAAAATCAACCACATTAATAAAACCATGAACTCAAGTAACATCTTAGTTACTAAATAAATAAAATACAATGTCTGAATTATGAACAAATGTTTAGAATGAGACAAGTAATTGTAAGATCGAAAGTAAATATTAGGATAAAATACTACATACATTATATAAAATGAAGTCATTTTATAGTTACGGTTTGGTTCGGTTATTCACTCTTTCCACCATACCTAGCCGAATAATTCGGTATTTTAAAAATAAAAAACCGTACATATTGTTGCTGTTCGGTAAAGTTTGAAACGGCTCGATTTTTCAATTTTTCGGCTCGATTTTTTGATTTTTTTGCTCACCTCTAAAAAAAGACACATGAGATAGAAAGGGGAGAAAGTGATATTTATATTATTACTTATTGATTAAGAGTTTTTAGGTTTATATATTAATAATTTAATTGGACTTTCATAAATTTTCTTGATCAAACATACATGCATCTAACAAAGTAGCAATTATGCCTTGCAAATATATGTTTATTCTTCCTCAAAAATAAAAATATGTTTATTCGAAAATATAATTTTTGTGACAAAATATTGTTTGGTACAGGTTCCTTTAGATTCAACCATAGATCCGTAGAACCAAAAAAACAGGGAAAGAGAAAAATGATACATAGTTCAAGTGGAGAGCTGCATATATGAGATGAACGGCTTAGTCCCCTTTCTAGTGTTCATTCAATAGATACAAGGTTTGGTAACACCTAAACGGAAACAAGCATCAAGTAACAACCACAGATCCAAAACCCCAAATCTATCCCCAAATTTACCATGAGTTGACTCACCAACACATGCACAGTCAACTCAGTCACCAACTCACCCTCTCCACTCAGCACAAACCCAGTTTTCCTCACTCAGAGTTCCTTAATCACTCACAGAAAAGTATTAAGGAAAGAAAAACACTCAGTTTGAATAGAAGGTGAATCACACTTGTCTCTCTCTCACCACAGTATATATACACGAAGATTCAACGGTCTTCAGCATTAAATGTGCTGCGACGGCAAGGACACCCATTGTCCGGCTAGACATGCGACGGTGTCGCCGAAAAACGACAATGGGTGACGAAACACTATAGAGAGAGAAGGGGACAAGATGAAGAGAAAGAAAACGGCGCAGCAGAATAAGCTGTTAGGGTTTGGAAGAGGGAGATAAGTATAGAGGGGATGAACGATCGATATTAAAACCACACAATGGACGGTCCAGATTGGATTTGACCAAACATTTTCATGTTGCTCATCTCGCCTCATCCGTTGTTAAAGTCACATGACAACATTTCATGCATGTCCAATATAATCGTCTGACCAGGCTAAAGAATTTTCACTACTTTTTACATGTACAACCGTTTTTTTACTAACCATTGAATTGACATACTAAGCTGATTGAAAGTAATTTGAAATCCGGTGATTAGACTGGTTAAACCGGAATGGAGGAAAGATTGGCGTCCATTTTCATCTATAAATATGGCCTATGGGTGGTGCCCGCCTGTGAAGGTAAGCTCTTGAAAACTAACGATAAAATATATGTTCTTTGTAAATAAGATTTGCAACCAAGAATAATTTAATGTATTAAAATATAATACTTTAGAAAATATTACTGAGTTGGCCGTCGGAGTGCTATAACCCCGGCATAGGCCCGAATTTTTCTCTCTTTTACAAATTTGTTTGAAAATTTAAGGCCCGGCCCAACCTTAAAACCTACTTGGAAGATCAAGGCCCAGCCTAACGAAAACTATCGTGAATCAGAATATGTAGCGTATATATAATTTACATAAGACAATACAGTACAATTAATAGCCTCCTAGTGATAAAGATTAAAGATTAAAGATTACAAGTTGATGCTAATATTGATTTATAATTTGTTATAGTTATTTATCCGAACCTGCTGCTAACACTGATTTACCTGTTGTAGGTCTCCTGAGTACTAGCCTACATTCGGTGGATCGAAAACGAAGAGAATACATTCAAGCGGCGAGAGAATAGCTAGGGAGATGAGGCATAGCCGATGAAATCAGATTGGGAAACACCACAAGAAACGAAAATCAAAAGAGCCACACTTTGCGAATAACAAAACTACATTGTAGAACGAAAATTTAGTTCCATGAAAATCAAAACAAACAAATACATAACATCCACGACATATTACTAATGTACTATGCAACAGGGACATGAAAACGGTGATACTGGAAACGACATATCCAAAAAATGGGGATACATGAGTTTAGGAGAAACGTAGAAATATTAAAATTATAGGGGTATATTTATAAATTGCTACATGAACATATGTATAAGTTTTTATTTATATATAAATTCTTTATATATTTTCTTACAAACATATTTGAAATAAATTTAACTATCAACTATCAATTTGCAATATATCATTAAATCTTGTAAATAATTAGGGAAATAACAAAAATATTTGAAAATTTGATATTCAAACGTGTTTCTAACTTTTTACGAATTGCAAAATGGCTTATACGGTGTCCGGCAGGTGTCCTATAGTGGTGTCCAATAAAAACGTGTCCGAAACGCGGAAACGTTAACAGATTGAAGTTTTCGTGCTACATAACTCATAGCGGAAACGTTGAAATTTCATGAAAAGTCAAGTAACAAATCAAGTAATACAGTATGCACAATGTAACCACAAAATCAAATTAGGGGAAAAAAAAAACTACAGGTTACTACAACATACTTCATCGGACGCCATTGAAGATCTTAGAAAAATAATGTAGAAAAAAATTACACAAGAATGACTGTAGTAATCTATATTTTTAATGCAACTTGTAACAAAATTCAAGTGACTGTAGCAGTTAATTTTCAAACAGCACACAACCAATTATTTATGCGCCTAATTTGTTCGGAGTAGAAATACCTACATATGTCTATAGCAATTTAGGACGATATTAAGATCAATTCAACAAGAAAGATGCAATAAAAAGTAGATAAACAATTTATGATGGGCAGTTGTGGGCTGCAAAATTAGGGTTGGGTGTGCATTTTAATTAGGAAAATTGTAATTGGTGTACATCTTAAGCCCCTTCAAAAATAAATATTGTCAACTATGATTTCTTGCCCCAGTTTATACTATGTTACATCGGGTGAAATACATTGGGTAGATCTTTATCATTCATAAGCACATAAAAATACATACCCACATTGGTGTGTAGATCAATAGTAAAAATTCATCCGGTGTAGCATATAAATTACCGTCTTGGCCCTCCATTTTGTGCATCAATGCGTGTATTCTCAAAAAAGATTTGTTTCAAATTGATGAGTCATTAAACTATCAGTCAATAATAATAATCAATTTATACAGTTGATTACCCTTTATTAAATGGTCATCCATTCCACATAATAAACCACATTAGGCTTATAATGACTAATGTATGACGAACTCGATAAAGTGTTGGATAGTGAATTCGAATTTGAGTCAAATGAGACCAGACTTTCTTGATCCCTTACGAGACATCCTTACTAACTAAATAATTATTATCTTTGTTTCATACTATGTGTCACTTTGGTCTTTTATTTTTTTCTCGTATTAAGTGTCACTTTAAAATTTTAAGATGGAGCAATCGACTTTTGTCCAACATTAATGAAATGTTAAAATGAAAATGAAGAGACACAAATAGGTAAATTTATCAAATAAGAATTTTAACCCCAAAATCAAGACTATCTAATAACTTTCTTGATTAGTGCTTCACAACTTTAAACGACACTTGATATGAAACGAATGTAGTAGTTAGTCGGGTCTAATCTAATCGTTCATATAGATAAACAAACGAGGCCACATACATATTAGACTGAAGTAATATACTTCAAGTCAATTGAAGAATCCAGAATCTTAAATGATATTCCAATAGGTCTGATTTTCACCCAAAAAAGAACAAAAAAATAATAATAATCAAAGTAATGTGACACTTGATTTTGGTTATACTGCGTGCGCGGGCGCGCGCACACACAAAATATCAAATCCGGGGACTAATCGGTGTGAACAAACTTCTATTATTACATTAGCAAACTATGTACTAGGCAACAAGTACAAAGTTACACGAATTCGCGTGAAACTGCATCAGCAGTACAAAACATAGTAATAGACAAGATAGCTACATTAACATCCTCTTGATCAAACTAAAATAGTTATTACATCATTTTTCGAATCTAAAAACATTAACCGCCGTGCTTTGGTTGAGTGGGAGGAGGAGAAGGTTTCGGAATATACGGCATTAGAGGAGTACCGTGCTGAATAGGTCCCGGTCTTACGGAGGCCTTTGAGCTCGGAACTGGATCGATCGGCCGATAATCTTCCAATTCCACATGCCCTTCTTTGTCTCGATCGTTGTTATTCTGCATATTGGATAATTAAACAAAAAAATAATAATAAATAATATTATGTCAAATTTCGATTTTATGCTATAACTATCGTTGGAGGTATATCTAACACGAAAGCTCTTAGTTAGGGGTGGAAATTGGACAGATCATATAGGAATTAGCACTTTCAGAAAATTCCATTGGGAAAAACTAATGCCAAATTCCGTTCGGGAAAAAAATCGGAAATCGTAATTTTGGAAATTGGAATGGAAATTTTTGGATTGGAAATTGGTGGAAATTGGACATTCCATTTTCTTGGTCACCTTTAACATAATAAATATTGATATTATAAGTGTAATTTTCAAAAAAAAGTTGAAATTTTCAGAGTCAAAATTGTATCAGAGATCGGAATCTAATATTTATTCCAATTCTGTTAAAAAAATCGAAAATTGGAACTTTCGGAATTCGGAATGAAAAATATTGTTCCAAAATCGTATTTTTAGATCGGAATCGGCGGAATTCAAAAATTTCCATTTCAATTTCCACCCCTATTCTTAGTTAAAGGTGTACCGTAAGTTTTCTGCTTTTCCACATCAACGCCATAGAGCCGCTCTCCATCGAAACCATCCCTTCAATCATGAATAAACAAATTAGTAAGACATTTAGTTCCTTAGGTTAGATCTTCTATTAAAATTATAATTATTAACGAAGAGGCCTTAAGCATTTCAACGGGATTTGAGGACCCCCATTACATTATTTAGCTCATTGTTGATTGTAAAATGACAGAAACATAACATGCACAAACCCAAAATTGTAACAACAGAACAATCATTTCCAGTACTCGATCAATTTAATATGATAATATACCATCCCGGTGCAACGAAATCTCGAGAAATATAAATCCATCAATTACAGAAAAAATATTTTCAAATAAAAGTGTCCGAGCCCAGTTTTAAGCACTCTAGTCATTTGCTAGGCATGCAATAAGATGGAAACTAAGGCACTATATGAAAGATTATATTGTTGTTGATACCGAACTTCGTTCCTATGACTTTCCATCGTGATTTTTCTATTAAAAAAAGTAATATTATTACAAGAAATTACTCCATATATATATAAATATACAAAAACTCCAAACTAATCATTCATGGAGAAGAATAGAGCCACAGAAGCCCTAACAAAGCCTATGATATACCTCGATCGAACACGAATTTTATCGAGTATCAACACTACATAACATTATGAAATTACTTTTCATACTAACTTGAATATAAAAATATTTATTAATTTTCGGTTTTTTCTTATAACTAAAATTCCTATGAGATCTAATCTGATCAAACAATTTACAATTTTACCACTAGATACTCTTTTAACATAACAATAATTGTTTGTTGGTACAGAGAAAAACAAGTTCTTGTGAATAAAAACATGAATATCAGCCTCCTCAATTATAGGCAAGAGAATAAATAATTGTCATATTAATAATATTAATATCTGAAAATATCTCTTCAAATTCCTTCATGCAAGCTATATTTTGCAAAAAAAAAAAAAAAAAAAAAAAAAAAACCTGGATAATTTGAGGTGATGCTTCCTTTGCCGGCGGCGGAGTAGTAACCATGGTACATAAAAGAAACCATCCCAGTTAACAACAACACCAAACACAACAATCCAAAACCCTTCATTTTTTTTTTATTTTCCCCCCAAAAAAAAAAAAGAAAAAAAGAAAATTATTAATTCGAAGAAAAACTAACAAAGCAGGCCACTTAAATAACAAACTCAACCCATATTTTCTATTTGGAGATTCAGTCGAGCAGAAAATCCGGGGAGATAAGGAGACGAAAGCCCATGCCCAGAAATATTAAATATTAAATATTAATTGTTGAAATAAAATAATTGAAAGAGAGAAATAATTTTGGTGATGAGTCATGATGTGGGCTTCATTGTCACAGCCATTGCTTGCTGGTGTGTGTTCAGATTATTAATTTAACTATTATTATTTTTATTATTATTAAAATATTGGTGCAGAAGAAAAAAAACAGAGAATAAATGAAGGAATGAATGCTGCTGTAGAGAGCGCGGTGGAATGCGAGCCCCTCTGCTCCTGCAGGCTTCAATAATCAAGATTGCCTTCTGAGAAAGACAAAACACTCTTTTTTTTTTATTTTTTTTTTTTTATTTTTTTACTTAAGAAAAATTAGTTTTAAAAAATGTTTTGGAAAAATAAAATTTAGAATTTTGAGTTTTGAAATAAAAAAGTTATTAAAAATAGTATAAATAAATAAATTTTTTAAAACTATTTTCGGAAAAAAAAAAAAAATCATAGAATAATGTGTTCCAATTACCCAAAAATTAAAAAGAATATTAAAAAAATGTTACAAAAATTAAAAAATTAGGGCAAAGGGAAAAAAACGTAAATTAGTATATTTCGGATAACTACGGTAAATATGTTGTTTCTAATTTGAAAAACAAAAAAACGAAAATTCGCAAATGGATTGACGACGAACTGGTGTGTCTTGCTTATTGCATATGAAGTTATCAACGTTATATGTAGGGTGATTTGATCACAAAAACAAATTTGAAGGAGTATTGAAGGAAGCACACTATAAATAGGGAGTCTCTCTACACAATTCAAAACACAACTCAAGAACAAGAAAAATCGTAGGAGAAAATTATCTTTACAATATTCAAGTCGTTCTTCATCGAATTCAAGGTGTTCTTCATCAAATCGAGAGCGTTCTTCAACAAATCAAGATCGAAGGAAGATTGAAGGGCCAAATCCATCAAGAACTCCAGGATCTTCAAGTCAAAACCCGTCAAACTTCAGAGTTCGATCTGAGATTCAAGTCGCAAGACCCTCGGACGGAGAAGATCAAGTCAACGACACGACTCCGAAATTCAAAGTCAAACACATATTGTTCTTGAGAGAAGAATCAGATGATTAAATTAGAGTTTGTAACCCGCAATATTTTATTTTAATTTGATAAATTATTTGTGTACAAGTTTTTATTTATTGTCTAAATCGCAGATAATAATTTGTTGCTACAACGCCATCAAAGGGGATACATTATGCCCTCTTTGGGGTGATGCTAAGATTCTTCTATAGTGGCTCTTTGCAAAAATAGTGGAACAATACATTGTTGAATACGATTGCTAAGTCAACGCATGATCAGTTCCTGGGTTATTTTCGCCAGATTACCTACTGCAATGTCATCTATAAGATCATCTCCAAAGTCAATACTAACTTGTTAATGTTTTGGAAGTAATTGTTGATAAGTTCCAGTCACAAGAGGACTTATTGTGGAAAATATTCATCTAGTGGAGACTCTATTGAGACACTATGAGAGAAAGAGGACATAAAGCTTATAATTCAGTGGATTAAGAATTTTGAAAGTGATACGCTGGATGGGTCAGGTTTTTGTGAGAGACTCATGGGATAGATTATGCAGTATGTCATTACAGTTTCGTTCTCAGCTTCAATGAATGAAGAGTTTAGGGCTTCTTTTCGGGATGGAAGGCTTGAGAAAAGGGCACCCCTTACCCTTTTGTCCTTTGAATAGAGTATTTATCTAGACTGCTTTGGTAAGTACAACATATACAAAATAACTTTCGCATAGCATTTACATATTACCTCATTGATGGGGGGAGGAGTGATATTTGGTCAGTTTAGTTCCTTGCTCAATCCTTTGAGGACTTTGGGAATACATTCATTAGAGTTGCGAGTGAATAACCATAAGTCCAATTTATTTATGGCATGAGTTTATGGGTATGAGAGAGAGCTTATTGAGGAAGAATTTTATTTGACTCAAGGTTCGTTTCATATCTGATATTTAGGCATTCCATTAGGTGCACCTACGGTGCACAATACATACTACACGACTTTGATGGATAATATAACGAATCGGATTGACGTGTGCATAGGCAATTCTCTTTCATATTTCGGGTTATGTCTTTGATGACTAGATTATGCCGGGTCTTTCTCTGGAGGTCGAATGTTTCGTGTCCCCAATTGTGCACGCCTACGCTAGAGAGAGGTCTTCGTCTGCGAGACTTCAAAGTGTGGAATGCGTGTTTGTTCTCTAAAACCGTGCGGGATATTGATCGCAACTCATTGGCACGTAAAGACCTGACCTAGCCGTATTTTTAATGGATCAAATTATCCATCAAATATGATGTGGATCAAATGGATGAATGAGTTATTTCTAAGGGGAGTTCGTATTTAGGAGTGGGAGAGCCTCCCAAGACCTGACCTCCCGTTTTTAAGATCATTACCCAAATCAAAGATGAGATGGTAGAGAAGGCAATGGAATTAGTTATATATACAACAATTATTACAGGCAAAAGTTGTGTGTAAGCTTGGCTTAAGATCGAATTCGGACCAAGGGAGAACTTAAACATTGGCTTAGTGTTAGCCCCTTAGCCGGTGATATCGGTAATGGCTCGAGTGTGGCCGAGTCATGGCCGACAAAGAGTGCCAAGCAAGGGTTGGCACAAGACAGTCACACAATCGGCCAATGAGTGGTCGAGTGTTGGGCAAGCATTTGGGGTGTTTGTCCGAGAAAGCAATGATCGGCTTGATTCAAGTGGGAACGGTGATCAAAAGTACTTATGGCTGGCACAGGCGTTGCTCGGCAGCGAATGCGGACATGCGTGGGCAGTAATCGGCATGTGGCCGAGAACTTGTGCAAACGAACGTTCGAAGGAAATCGACCACGACTTGACAAGTGTGGGCAAGTTGGCACGACCGATTGGCAAGTCAAGGAAGGCAGCCCGATGTGCGGGCGTGCTAATGACCGTGTGGGCAAAGAACTAGCAAGTGATGGGCAAGACAAGCAAAACGTGCGGAAAAGGCAAGGCAGATGGGCTGCCTAGCAACCGGCCGGGCTGTTTTGGGCCGTTTGGCGCGCGCGCCCGATCAAGATGGGCCTCGAAAACCAGCCATGTGGGCGGTTTTGAGGGAAGTTGCGGAGCGGTTGAGGCCTGGAAAGAATGAAAAACTGCCCCTTATTACTTGTAATAGTTAGCCAAGTGTCAAGCAAGTATGCTGCCAAGTGTCCTTAGGTAGTTTTATGTAAAAACTACCTTCTTCCTTGTATTTATAGGGCTATGAGTGCACAAATCCGACCCATCTAGTATTAGAGAGTTCAGATTGCAATTGTGGGCATTCTGAGTGAGGATTTTGTGTGTGCACCTTAGTCTCCTTTGTATTATTTGTGAGAAATAAATATAAAGGTTGGGCATTGCCCGTAAACGTGCTTGTGTGTTATTTTCCGCTGCATACTCTTGTGTTCGTTTATGTTGGCTTAAAAGACTTGTGTTTGTGCGTTTTGTTCGAAGAGAATCGAAAGGAAGGATGACAAATTTTGTGGGCAAATCAGGCTTCACAGGCGAAAATTTCTTGATCAAAGAAACCCCTATGACACTTAGCTATCACTCTTCACTATTTGTGTCTAATTTTGCAGATAACAAATATTTAAATATTAATTATTATAT